CACCCAGTGGTAGCGTCCAGCATGGATTGGCGTTTATTTGGCTGATGGCGTGGCCTATGTCAATCCAAAGTCAAGCGATATTAAAATTTACCCCCAAATTTAATGATATTCTTCAATACGTACTCGCCAAGTGAAATTGTAAAATGTAATCAATGATATTTATGGTCTCAATTTATAATAGAAAGCCGATTATGAGCCCTCAGTTTTTCTTAATGAGACTTCACCTCATACATTAAATAAGTTAGAGGTCTCTAAATTTTAAAATATTAGTGTTATGTAAATTACCTGAGTCGAAGATTTTCACGACCGTTTTGTACTACACATAATATCATTACAAAACGCAGAAGAATATTTGCATTGCGACGCAACGCAAACAGTGCGCACTCGACAAAGCGGGCCTTAATGCATAGTGCTTTTCCCCGATCGTTCTTAAGTGCGCGGAACTGAGTGAAAGACAACTCAAGTTTTAGCACTTTTTATTTTGGCCATCGAAACAGCTCGGATTTTACGGCACCGTCAATGTTCTTCCCGCTCGATAGGCATTATCCGTCGCTCGTACCGTCGTCGCTCGTGTTTCTCATACTACCCGGACACTGGCTGCGTAATGCCGTCGATTACATCTCCTTTGTCGAGATCAGATTCTTAGTGCCGTCATGTAAACGTGATTCGAGGTTGTTTGCCACCGACCAACGTCACGCGCGACATGAGTGGCTTAAGAAAAGTCGAAGTTTTCCACACACGTGTAGAGCATTGTAGGGTTTATAGCAGTATCGGTTAAGATTTATCTGCTGACCTCATCAATCACGAAACGATTAAAGCTCAATTAATTATTCAATGTCAAGCGCTTTGTGTCTCGCCTATGCAACTATTGACTGCCCTCAGTGAGCGTCAATGTGACGGACGTCGTTATTTTTAGCGGCCAGATGGATGTGTAAGCGTTCGTCTGTGTTGATGACGTGAACGTGGCGACGGAAACACTGATGTTTGCAGGATAAATGAATGGTTGCGGTCGCTATGGATTGTTTCCAGCTATGCTGAGCGTCATGCTGCCGTTCAGCGGATTCCTGACACTTACATACCGGATGATGGACGTATTTTCGCGCTCCTGTTATTCCTTCATCGTCACTAGCTGCTGTCTATGTATCGGGGTCGTATGTGAATTCGGTCATGAGAACGTCTGCTGCACTTTGCATACCCGCTCTTCAGGATAAAGAAATAAGCGAACCGGTGTCCTGCCCTCAGCCAACGATGTTTCTGTCTGTGGTGATATTAAACGTGGGTATTGTGATGCATGATGAGGATGGTGTAGTCGGACGATGAACTTATCCTTGCGCTGTGTATGTGATACCGATAAATCATGGTGCATGCGCTGACTCGTTTATTTCTAACAATTGCTTGTCTTGAATAAAGTATTATTCGAAGAGTTTTTTTAGTCGTCTTGAAATTGCCGTGGCCTCCTTCTTGTCACTAAGCGAAATTGGTAATGATTGCGGCTCGTTATCCAACATTCGTTGCTTTGACATCGCTTAAATCCAGTTGATCGACTTTGTTTGCGATCGTATATACATTCATGTGTTTATATAACATAGACTTTTCACACTTATGCTGAATAGGATAGCAAACTAACATAGAACTTGAAATGTAGGTAAGCATCGGCTTGGCAAATTGGGTACGTCATTAAAGTGTAAATATGTGATCTTGATATTGCAACTCGTATTTTATGCTTTTCAATCGCGAGATGTGCTTAAGTGATACAATAGAGCTATCATTATAAATCCTTTGTTGCGGAACCCTTTAAAAGGTTAATAAAAATTCACCAAGACAAAATTTAATGTGTATAAAAACAGAGTTATTTACATACTGATGGCATCTTAGCAATAGGGGAACACGTATATTGCTAACGGCTAGCAACATCCAACTCACAGTCCAAATTTTGATGCAGCTTGAATGCATCAAATAATAGACCAAAATGCTCTATATATTCGATCTATCGCAATGCTAATGGTGCTAAAGGCACTGCTTCTAATCTGCGGCTTGGCGACATGTCCTTGCATTGCACCCCAAATTCTTACAGCGTCCACATCGCCGACGTCTCTTGGGATTCAACGCGTTCTCTACGTTATTAAAGTGAGATAAATTGCGGCGGGTAGAATCAGTTGGGCGCTCGCGTATCCTTACCAGCTCAGGGTCACGTTTTATGTAATCTGGAGCAGCGATAGCATGATCGTATAGCATCCTTTGATGGAGTATGTCAGCATTCACATACCTCTTACGAAGCCCTTTTAGCACAGTATCATAGTCGGCAACATCATATCTGACTGTCTCGTTATCAGCCCTTAGTGTTGAAGGTTGGACCAACCGCCAATGCTAGTCAAAAGCTTTTAACTAAACGGCCGATCTAATTTGAATATTGCATGACGACAAGGATGTCCCATGTTTTTTGTCATCAGATTCTGACCAGATCCTGGGTAAAGTCTATAAATTTGTTGACGATGTGCTGCCAATACACCTGCGACAGAAATCGTGCTCATTACTCCTGCAAACAGAGGTCCTAGATGAAATTCGACGATGGCGCGTTCCCTTGCGTTTTGGTGGCTGACTATAGCAATTTGGCCGTAGGAAGCCAACCCAAGAGCTGTGTTTACCAGCCATAGATCACCTCAAGGCGTAAAAATACTTAAATAGCTAAACTACCAATATCATCAAGTTTAAATTGAGCTTCTTGCCTGTGGCTACATTTAACCACTTCTCTATGCCCGCTGCGCGCACTCGACACGTGACGTTGTCACATGAATGTAATGTAGACAATCACGCAAGTAGCAAAACACGAAATTTTTCTTGTATACTAGTCAAGTATCATCCTGATATTTCATTACATAAACTGGTAGAACAAACCTCATCGCAACAATCTGGCGGTCATACCATGTCGTTAATTGAGCTTGTACCAAGCAGTTCCACGTGGGCTGTTATTATTTGAACTCCTTTGTGGAGTCAAAATGTCATCGCACCTTGGCAGTGATGTTCTTTTTTATGTGCCATCAACGAAGCAGTGTACTCGCAACGGGAAAACAGTTATCGAGCGCGTTAATTAATGCCATCTCGCGATCAATAACGGATGTTTTTGGTGTAGCGATGTTGAAAATTCCGAATACCCGCCTTAGGTTCTGCATCGCCCAGATGTAGTCGCCTTCATTTTCGTTTCTCATAAAGCGATATGCGAAAGTGTATCTGCTGTTGGTCGCAGTGAAGAACACAATGTGCTGCAAAGGTAGTAGAAATCGATTGTTCTTGTAAGTGGTGTCAGTTAAAATACCCGACTTGGGCTGAAACAGGAGGTGATATTCCTGGCAGAGGGACAAGATAAATAGGTGCGTGAGCTGCTGCTCAGCCCCAAATTTTGCGTAGTACGGTGCATTGTTGTTTTGGTCATTGCTTTTTGCTAGACTTTCAAGCAAGTTCGTAAGCGGAGACCTTCCTCCTAGATATCTGCGGCGCTCCATTGCGCTAATGTTGTATATATCGCGAGCAGTAACACCCACAATATCATATTGTCGTAGGGAGGCAACGATGCAACCAGAGCTGATGTCTGCACGCAACTCGCAATCACCGATTGTTCTTGTTCTTTCTTCAGAGTACGTACATGTAGATGCACCTTGATTTCTTTAAAAAGATCATGGTATGCTTTTCATGAGTAACTTTAATCGACCACTGCTCTAATTGTTCTTGACGTCGCTGTCGTCTAATTGTAGCAGAGAAGAAGCATCCCGTGGCGCGGCTGGAGCCCATGCGCTGACGATGAGGCTCTGTAACTGAGTCGGTACAAGAACAAGTTCGGCGGCCGTTGCATGAGCATTGCAGATCTACTGCTTTAACCTCAACGTCCTTGCGGTAAACCACCCTTACTTGCCTTTTAATAGTTGTAACATATCCTTACGGCAGTGTTAATTCGTCAAGCGCGTGGCAAGCTTCGTCCACAGAATCAAATAGCTCTTCTGTGAGCTGGTAAAGGCCTTTTAATGGCTTTGAAGGAAGGTTGTCACGGGTCCAATCGACTAGATAACTTGAGATGAATAGACGTTATTTCTTAAAAGTACATCAATACAATTTTAGAAATAAAAGACCCCTAAACAAATGACTTGTTTAATCTATAGGATGAAGGCTCATTAGCGAAAACTGAAGACTACTCATTAGCAAAAACTGAAGACTCATTAGCGGATCATTTATTAAATTCTACAATATAACGTTGAATTCTCATATTACGCAATTCGAGCCAATGGCATGTAACAGGCTCACCCCTTACAAGGGCAGTCAGAGCAAGTAGCTTTGTATCGATGCGTGTTTCACTTGACACTGCCGCGGTCTTGTGATCGTCTTCTGGACTGAATGTGCTATCGAGCGCATAGTTCACGGATCTTATGCGGAATAGTTTAGTTGCCAAGCAGCAGGTATAGTACGAAAAGAAGTTACTGGTGTGAGTAAGTCCCTGAAGCGTGGCTGGCGCTTCGAGCTGAAAGTTTACCGGCAAAGTGGATGCTTCGCACAAAGCGCTTCAACGCATTTGCAAAGCGGCAGGTAGCAGGTACGCGAACATGGCGGACAATTGATGTGCGCGTACACTTCAGTAGCCACTACCGTCCAAACGAGTGTGTCTGCTCTGGGTATCGCAGTAGACAACCCTTGCGTTTGTAATTGCAGCGGCCTGTGGAGAATGACAACACATAGCACGCTACAAGGCCACTGCATATGTAAGCTGCGATCAGTGCGCTGGCGAAGACATCCCGATGTATGAGAGGAGGTAGTATTCGCTTGGTCACGTATCGCATGTGTGACATCACGTCGGTTTGATGTGGTCGAGTGTTTGCTGTCTTCGCCTGCCAGTCCCTTCCCCGACGACGACGACGACGACGACGATGATGAAAATTCCACGAAACACGAGCACGTCAAAGTGGTCGAAACGCATTTCCCCTTTGTCCAAACAAAATCAAACACATCTCTGCAAGATGACCTTCGATTCCCGTGTCCGCGGCCTCTGTGCTCTCGCGGTGCTCTGCACTGCTGTGTCGATGGTGCCCACAGCTGATGCGTGGCTGGCGCCGATCGTCACGAAAGGCAACAAGTTGTTCGATTCCAAGACGGGTGTGGAATTCCGGATGAAAGGCATGGCCTACTACCCTCGTCCGAACGATGGCCGCATGGCCACTGTGGGCAACTACGACTGGGCAGCCGATAAGCACGAGGACGTGTGGCAGCCGCACTTGGAAGTGCTCAAAGACCTCGGCGTCAACACGATTCGGCTCTACCCGATCGACCCGGGCACCTCGCACGACAAGTTCATGTGTGCGTGCTCAGAAGCAGGCATTTACGTGCTGGTTGGCATCACTGCACCGTGAGTAGAAGCACTACCTGTCTGTCTATCTATCTGTCTATCTGTCTATCTATCTGTCTATCGCGTCGCTTTATCCCTTCTGCTGCAAGGACTTCTGTCACCAGTGTTCGTTGACTGTGGACGGTGGATCTATTCACCTATGTATAGCTCGACCCGTCCGGACGCTTGAGACTTGACTGACGGATTGTGCTGTGTTCCTTGCCAGGTGTGAAAACTGCTCCGTGCTGGACTACCTGCCGCCCAAGTGCTATCCGGAAGACCTGTTCACGCGTGCGCAGATGGTGTACAACGCGTTTGCAATGTATGACAACACTTTGGGCTTCAGTCTCGGCAACGAGAACAACCTGCAGACGGAGAATGGCGCCGATGGTACGGCCACGGCGCCCTGTGTCAAGGCTTTCTTGCGGGACACTCGCAGTTACGCTGCGAGTTGCTCGGGCTCGGTGCGCAGGTGCCCATTGGCCTCGACATTGCCGACATTCCGACACCTTGGGCATTAGTTTCGACGAAAGCTGCATGAATATATCCATCACGATGTCAAATATCGGCTGGAGGCGTTAATTTTGGTGAAGTCGGACAGAACCTCCCCTTGCTCTATAACCGCTCGCGGACGGACCTCGGTTAATGATGTGATTGAGAATCTTGTTTTTCTTTATGTACGCGGACGACCCACTATGTCCTGTCATCGGGCAACAAAGTTACCGCAACAACGACGGGTTCATTTACTAAGTAGCACTAGTCCTCGGACGGCAAAGCGCCTACGCGCAAAATCTTGTCTCGAGATGATCAGGTTTCTCGGTGTCAGCGCGGGATCCGGTATTTCGAGTTGCTCGGGTGAAAGGCTTCCAGCCAGTAGTTGAAACCATTATTGAGAAGAGATACAGCCTCCTCAATATGACCTTGTTTGGAGGACGCGTACACATGATAGAAGTCCTTATTTTCATCGCGTTATTCGCCAGTCGATCTTTCAATTTGTGATCAAGTGCAATATTGATGCCCCCAGCTAGAGACAACGATATCATTTGCTAGGACGCAGGCTTCTCGAAACGACCGCAGTAAGCTAGGCTAACGAGGAGGAACAGTGCACTGTACCCATAAACATTGGTCCGAGGAGGAACAGTGCACTGTACCCATAAACATTGGTCCACGACCGGATCTTTTGGGTCGACGGGAGTAAGACCGGGACTGTGCTCTCCAATTTAAGCTCTAGTTGTTCCCTAGAATTGATATTGAGCCTGGCTGAGCAATACTTTAGCCGATGAATAGGAAGGAGGTGAGGCTTTTTGATGCGCAAATCCGCCGCAACTCCAACCAGGGCGGGATTGGGCTTTGGCTTGCGCAAACAGAACCGGGTCTATGCGTCGTAGCAGAAAGTCCACGACGATAACGCTCACTTTCTTTGCGTCTTCATTCCTACAAACGTAAAGTAAATGTATACGAATATTCCTAAACCTTCAGACTTACGACATCTTCGATATTGAGATAATACGAATGCACAGACTTGATAATTCATGTGTCTACAGAAGGCAAACGTAGCAAGCGAAAACAGCACGTGAAGGGTTAGGTGAATTTAACAGAGAGTTGATTGGAGTGCTCCAAGATCTCAGCAGCATAACGCAAAGGAGAGACATCGTAGCGAACCATCCGCTAATATAATGCGCAGCCTGAATCCATCACGGACACCCAGCGTGACGAACTGTCCGCAACATATCATACGTCAACCGCTTCTCAATTGCAAGAAATGTAATTAAAAAAACGACTGTCATGATGTTGTAGCCAGGGCTATTTGCGAACTTCTCTCTGATCAGACGAGTGTTCTACTGGCACCGAGTCCTCTCTTGTGTACTTTTGATGCCATCAAACGACGCGCTGACAGCCAGTGGCTCACAGAAGTTGGTAAGATTTTGAACAGCGAACTCACCGGCGTGTCTGTGCGGCTGCAGGACGTTTGCTATCAATTCAGCTAGATGCACAGATACACGGTACAAAACGATACAGAAGAATAAAACCGCCGTCGATAACAACTTGTCCCCAGTCGACGACAAATGAGCGCAAAACTACGCTCTAGCTGACAAGAAATAATACAGCCAGCTACTGCAACATGTGAAGGTGCTATGGTGCACTAGTGGAAACTTGCAGTACTTTCAGAGTGGCATGTGGTGTGCTCAAAAGCTGAGCAAATTTCTTCACGTTGACTCCGAATATGCACTGCCCATGACAACGATCTTATCAGTATTGGAAGCGACGACGATATTCTTCGCATGCTCACAATCTGAGAGAGCCTTTCATACTAATGCCAATTTTTTCGAGGCGCTACGATGAATCTCCTCGGTGTAATGTCACATTTTTGGCTGCCACTATTGCGAAAATTTGTATCTATGTTTAACAATAGCTCAAATGGCACTGCACATAGGCGCAACAAGGTCACGGCGGCAATTACAGTCGGCCAACGATACGTGTATGTACATACGCCTATGCTTTGCATTGAAGACGCAAATCACGCAATTGCTGCGTATAAGATTGGTTCTGGCTGCCACATAATTGAATCTGCTGCGTCCAGGCAGGATGAAGCCACCAACTTATTCCCAAATAATGAGATGATAAAGAATTCTTGCACGGTTGTCAAGTCAAGCATCTAGCCTTCAATGTATGTAGCGATCGGTTTGATCGAATTGTTGGACCTATGGTCCGCTTATGTTGCGTACCATATGAAGAATTGAACGAGTGGGTCATGTATGGATATTCATAAGTGTCAATGCGTCGCTGATTCTGTATAAATTCGTTGTCGGTTCACGCATCTTCAACCAAGGTAGCGAGGTCTAAAACCTATGCGTACCACCGTCGCACTTGGCTCGTTACTGTTCAGAGTGCTTAGTTTTCCAATGTCTCCCAGGGCAAGCTTCGACTTTTGGACTGCGCCTCTATGCAGCACTATACTGTTTGGCTTTGCGCATGTGCCACATTGTGCCATCGGACTTTGACCTTGTGCAGCAATTATATTTGTGTTTACCATTCTTGTATAGTTGTTGAGAATTCATGACTCCAATTACGCTTAGCTACGCTACGATGCATGCACAAGGAACATTACTTGACTTCTGCATCGTATTCGCTAGCTAAGCGCGAAGGCTTGACACTACCGCTCGTGAAATGGTGTACGCCGAATGTAGCTGGCACACATAAGGCTCTTCTTCTGATAAATACAGGCTGAGTATAGACGCTGCTTATGCGTGCATCACGCATGACGTTTCGTCAAAGCCATTGACATGTTCTTTACATAGCTAAGTCCTGCATGAGGGCCACAACGGTCCCATGGCTATCAAGCCAATAAACAACTGCGTCATTTATGGCATGTAACAAGGTCGTTTGACCTGTCGAATGTCATACCGACTGGCCAGTCTTTCCCATTACTCGCCATGTCGGACACAAACGCCTAATGTTCACTATTTTCTTGGCCAATCCCATTTACAGGTCGTGCATAGGCATTAAGACCTGTAACGGGGAACCCCGTTCTAATAAAGAAGCTTTGTGAAAATGGTAATAAAGAATATAATGTTATAATATTAATTGAACAATATCACTTGATACGGCGGTATTGTTGAGTGGAATTAAAAGTCTACTTATTGGTTGGTATCGTGTTTATACGAACTTTCCAATCGCTGCTAGACGCGCGCAAAGGGTGGTGAGTAGGCATCATCATACTTCATATATAAATATATAATTGAGTTAGGATAACTCAGAGAAGAAGTAATATTGGACTTAAGTATATTCAATAACAGCTTCACTTTTGCTACGACCAAAGCATTTATCTTCGTCTTTTACCCTTCGTCTAAAAAGTGCATATACCTAGCAAATAACTGACCTTCACTGTTGTCAGTGATATCGAACTACGTACTGGTAGTCCACTACCTAGTTTTCGATGACCCGTTATGGGACTGAATATTTTAATTTAGTGAGGTTTTTTTATTCCTTTATTCTATCTCGTAACTGAAGGTGATCGCATCATAAAATCTTGTCCATGTGTGCAAGAACATGGCAGACCTACGGCCATGCAGCGCTTGCACGAAAAACCTATGTCTTGCCATCTACCAAGATCCCTTTTTGTCAGTTGTCGAGCCAGTTCCCAATATCTTTATGCGCAAAACAATTAGATTTAGCTCCTCTCGTTTACTATATTTCCAGACGGTACAAGTATTGCAAATTAATTTTTACTCAGCGTCGCTCTTTGTCGGATAATGATCACAGAAAATTAATGACCTAGTTCAGCCAGATCACTCCGCTAGGCAGAACGCGCTTTTGTGCACAGTCTCTTTGTGCTCTCGTTTTGCTAAAGAGTAAATATACAAACATAAAGAGCGTAATTCTGCGAACCTCTACAACTTCATTGCATTATGTAACCGTATCGCACATTTGTCTAGCTAAATATCTTGGATCTTGTTATTCTGCATCCAAAAACCGGTTATGGATACTTAATAGCGAAAAATATACGTCTAATTTAACACGAGCTTAATAAAACCTTATCAGCAAACTCCCTTGGCGTGCACCACTAATTTCTCGAATCTTTCTCATTCTTTGTATCGACTGCATACCGACTATCCTGATGACCAAGCGATTTTGTCTACTCGTGCTTTACTCATTGTGGGATGTGGTGGTATCACTCTGCCGACTCGTTGGCCGATTCAGTGCCTACATCCATTTTCCACGAGCGTAATTAAGCGGATGGATGGAAAAGCAAGGGAATGTTCCGATCAAGAAACGACACGAAGATTTTATTCGGTGGAGAAAAAGAAATAACGAGGCTACCTCTAATGAGATCTTTGGACCACATGACGAGGAGTAAATTTGGTCGTTGATTCGCACCCATTAGGGAGGAAATTGCAAAAGAGAAGTATGATGTAGCTGCGGCAAGGCTTGATGTATACATTGAAACGATTGCAGCGACATATGAAGTCGAGTATACCGTGTAGAACTACAAAAGCGAGCTAAACCTGGACCTGGCGATCATGCGGTCATATGTATCGTATAGTTTTTTGACGAAGACCTTCGACGTAAAGGTTATAAATTTAAGACAAGCGTGAAATTAGACAATTTAACGAGGAGGGCCAAGCCAAATGAGAGAAAGGCTCCTTAATGCACATAAACCTGAGCATTGAGGTATCGATTCGCGTTTAATAATGAACTAGCGCACTATCACCAATGATACACATAGGAGAGTCGCCGCTGGTCTTCGCTTGTCGGAGACCTTGCACGAGTCCCCGTTGTTCTGCTACATCGATAGTGGTACCAGTATAATCATATGTCACGCTAGGCAACCTCAGAACGCAAACGGCGTGCGTCGAAATGTGGAGTTGGACATGGATGGATCTATATCCACCCAGACCAGGATTACCTCTAGATTCTCCGTCAAATAGGAGGAGGAAAAGTACTTCATATTTCATACGATAGGCAGCACGTGCAACGCAGGCAATTTATCGGAGAAGAGGAAAGAATCACTCAATTCTGA